AAATATAGATTGTTTCTGAATAAGGCAAATATTGTTGTAATACGCATGTCTATATTAGTGACTTTGCCGTTTCTCGCAATTATATTTGTAAAAATCACGTGATTGTAAAAAAAGAAGCAATACCGTCGAGAATAATGTTGATGGTTGCGTAATGCAACTGCGACTCAAAAGAAAAATGCAATTTTGACATAATGCAAAAGTTAATGATTGAAAGTTTAAGCTTAGTAATTATAAAATGTAAAGAATGTTAAATTTGCACAAATTTTGGTTTAGACAACCATTTTTCTCTTTTAAAAAGAATGTATTGAATTATTAAACGAAGCCAAAAGCGCGCAATGCACGTTTTTTCACAATATATTTAAAGAATTACAATAATTTTTGTTGATCTTTTATTGATATTTTATGAAATTTATAATTGTTAAAGTGCATAAAGGACTTAGAAAAGTTGAAACTTGTCTGTCATACTTTATATTTGATTTTCGAAAATTACTCATATATGATGCACATATGTAAAATGCATATAATGCAATTTTTATATTGCAATTTTCTATTTTGCATTGCTATGCATGTAAATGCGAACTTTTAATCTGGTCTCAATCAAAAAGCTGTTTCTTCCTACATTTGTAACTACATCGGAAATTGATCATATGAATGGATAAATATTTGTTATTTATTTTTTGTTATTTACTGTCAATTGAGAAAGTATTAATAAGAATCATATAAAACATCTGATCCAAACGTCAAAGACGATATAAATATTCAAGTGAACAAGACACAAATGTGAAGCAGATAATAGCAATTAAGAGCGAATAAATTAAAAATTGTAAAAAGAAGATACACGTTCCCGTAATGTGTTTCAGCTACTGCTAACATTGACGATTTGCTCATTGAAAGATCGATTTATCGATCTCTAAACTACCTTTTTGAACTGTCATTATTAAAAAATGAGGCAGTAGGAAACGATAAGAGATCTTTTTATTCCGATGTATTGTACATCGTTGTTTTGTGCAGCCTCGTTATCTTACTTATTTGTTTTATACATTATCTCTTGCCAATTTGGAACATCGAAATACATGATATAATCAGAAAGTTTCGCAAACTCCAACTCCAAACGCAATCGAATCGATAGTTTCCGCGCATCATTAATGTTGATATAGTAATTACGTAAAATGTGCGTTAGTATGTCATCGCGACTGTCAGGTAAGCGGAAGGGAACGCAGAATGTGATTTGTACTGTATAGATATACATATATATACATACATATATATATATATTTACTGGTTTTACGAGTAAGGTTAATCGTATGTTCTAAGTAGTCATCGAGTGTCCGTTCTCGGTAGTCTTATGATTGTATAGCATGCAGAGAAAGAAGGATCCGTCGCTATACCATGTGCAGCCGTAAATGAAACGCGGTTCCGTGAAAGTTATAAGATTTTTAGTGATACGAGATAAAGTTTAATGACACGCGAATTTCGCGCTAGTCGTTAATACACAGGATGTTCTATTATTATCGAATAAAGTTGTTTGATTAGTAATAATTGTTAACTTGACGAAGTTGGAGTCAATTTTTCCTTAAAAATCTAGATCTGTCTATTACTCCTACAATTTATTCTGCATTTGTATTAAATATTTTAACAAATAAATCTGAAATAATATTTTTGATAACTGAAATTATCTTGAAATTAATGAAAAATTAAGCTTTACCCATCTATTTACAATATCGAATCTAACGCGTCTGAATCTTTCAATTTTTGATGAATTAAAATATTCGTGTAATATTAATACGATATTGCGCTGTATAAGTTTGTGCACAGACAAAATTGATTTCAATTTCGTCAATTTTATAAGCGAGTCGTCTACGTAAAACGTTTATGTGAAATATTCCGCCGATGGCCGTTCGTTTATTTTTCCACCGTCTTTTTATTGCGCGCGTACGGCAGGCTTTGTAATTCGATATCACTTAACTTCGTCACTAAATAATAAGGTTAATCAGTGTTCGTTGCATGCGTGCGCGCGAAAGCGTGTCGTGTTGATCGTTGTAAATCGTATCGTGATGCCGAGCCTGGATATTTACTCTGCCGATGGTTTATATGCAGGAACTTCCGCGTAAGCTCCGGATACACAACGGTGCCTCGAATGCAAACTTCATGCGAAATGCTAACATGCGTTCGGGCGTCGTGTCACATCGTGCACACGCATACACGCACGCCCGTTCCCTGCGCTGTTCAAATTTGCGTGGGCTGCATTTTTCGAGTGCACTTTGAGAGAGAGCTTTCCTCGTGCACGATCGGGGAGTATGATTATTGCCGTTAACTCTTAAGGTACTTACGTACATATCGTACGCGGGGATAGACCACTTGTCTCACGAATTAGCTCTTCGTAACATTTTCTGCTATATAAGCTGATTATATTACATTGCATTACATCACATTAATATACAACTTCTTTTTGTGCAATTTGTTTATTTTTAAAAAAATGTAGCACTTAAAAATGTAAATAGTACAGCTTTATAATTTAAATTTTTTTATAATCTGATATCTTAGTCGAATTTTTTACAGAATGCTATTTCGCACCGCTGTGGAAGGTTCTCAAGCGTTAAACTAATTAGTTAACTAATTAGAAGGCTTTGCAGTATTAAATATTTTAACAGTTTTTATCATTCCCTTTATAATTAAAAAATTTTCGGAAAAAGTTATGTTTACAAATTAAAATTCTGAGGCAAAAAGATAAAACTGACATTGCCCAAAATACACGGATATTCTAGAATTATATTTTAAACACGCCGAAGGATATGCTTCTTTAATTATATTTATTGTGAATGTAATTCTACAATATTGTTTGCTAAATTCAGCAATACACTCTTTTTATTGAGAAAATTTTATTTTTTTCCCATTTAAAAAATTTAACTCAGTTATTAAATTAAATGTTGCTGTCTTGTGCATTATTATTAAAAAATAGCTTTATTTATATGATATAAATATATTGTAGAATATCCATGTCATGCAAAATATAACAATCAATTGCAAATAAATCTTTTTTTTTTTTTAAATACAATATAACTATCTAGTTTATACTTAAGGGTTAATGGTGAAGAAACTGTAACGTTATTATCGGCAAACTTTTACGACAACAACTTCCCGTCAATTTACGCGAATTTGTTTTTATAAAAAAGCCATCGCCAACTACGGGTAGTAAAAATATTAGATTGCGCACTAAAAATTACATAAGAAATTATTCGATCATTCGTCATATTGAATAATATTCTGAAATTTCGGCACAATTGTTTGATTTACACACATTGATTTTTATTCTGACTTTATAAACGATAATTCCAATGTTATATAACACAATGTTACGTGTGTAAATTTATTTTATATGTGGACAAAAATGACTTATACGATGCAAAATTTTTATTTTAACTTCTAATTAAAAATATTATTAAATTTATTTACACGTTCACTTGGGAAAAACATATTTACGAATCTATATCAGATAAAAATGAAGAGAGAAAAATGAATTATTAATCATTGTATTATCTGGTCGACATAAGCTTTGTGATATGAATCAATTTTACATGTAATATTGCCGTTTCGTACATTTTGTAATAAAATTTATCAGTGATAAATATGCAAATGAAATATTTCTTTAATTAACGCAGCAATTACACTCGATAAAATATTAATTTTTAAGAGTTGATTATAAATTCAGAACATTGATGTATAAGCAGGAGGTTTTTCGATTATTGAGATACGTCGAATAAATGATCGTCTACTTTTTAGTGCATCCATCACATTTCACGGTCGAAGAATGACGCTGTTATAGATATGCGGTATAGCCTAATGTGATATTCATAATATCATATATAAACAGCTTCTGCGTCTCTCTCTCTCTCTCTCTCTCTCTCTCTCTCTCTCTTTCGCCACGCGTATACTTCGCAACACGATACGAGAGTGCATGCGACACAAGACGTTTCACGGTGTACCTTAAGCAAGTGTATAATATTATGCGAAAATGAAGTAAATATTGTAGTCGACCGAGAAGAAGTGCATTTGCATTACGAGAACTTAATAAAGCGATACGTTAAAGAACATCATTGGTCTTTCTCCTTTATTTATAAACTATATCTTATTTAAGACGTTTTCAGGAAGTCCGGAAAAATGTATGTGACGCGCGCTTGTGTGGTCTACTCCTTCATAAATTAGATGCTTTTCCATTGTCGTGTCTTATGTTTGACGAGAAATTGGTAAAGATTTATTCCATATAAAATTAAATTTCTAATCTTTAAATTCTATTTTTAAAATATTTTGTTTTTTGTAAAAAATACTATATTACAATTATTTCTATTTTTACAGTACAAATGTTCTAAAAATTTTTTACTGTTTAATTTAACTTCCTAACAATCATGCCAATATATCGGCATGATACTTTACGCGTCTCGACTAGATATATTAGTGTATAGATCGTACATTTCAAAACTCTACAGTTAGAAAAAAACCTATTGACAAATAAAAAATAACATATATCTGTGTGGCAAGCAAGAAGTGTCGTTTATAACTTTGTTTGTTAAATATGAGTTTTCAGTATCAATATTTTTAACAAATCAACAACGAGGACGAAAATTAATGATATAAAATTAATAATAGTCTAATTACTGATCCTATTAATGCCTCACTTTTGATCATGTAATAAAAAATAAATTAATAATGTTTATATCGGATTTTCTTTTTTCATATTTACCTTTTGAATTTGAATAGCTTTAAATTAAAGTAGAGCATGAACTTAGGAAACATCTGAACGAAGAATGAACCGAGAAACGTAAGGGGAAAACTTAAGTTAGCCCCACACAGTCCCATACATCTGCCATCAGCAGATACATTCGATACCTCGAAACGAAGTGGTCAAAGTGGGATAGCCAATCCGATTCACTACTTTCCCTCCCGGTTCGGCTTCCTTTCCTAACTTACGAACGTTCCACTTCGTACTCCGACTTCTTTATTCATTTGTATAAAGCGCCATCTGCAGGAGCAAGCATTACCGTCAAATATCGGAGTTCAACGAACCAGTGAGGGTGTAATGTTTCTCTTTGTGGCGCGCAAACGTCATCCAAGATTGTTTACAAAATTTTCGGAGCAGTATCTTCGCAACGCGGCTTGTTACCGACAAAAATGATTAATCGCCGCTTATGAGTGCTTCTTGGACGAACGTTACACGCTGTACGCCGCAGTAATACACGTAATCTCCGTAAATACACGTGGCGAGAAGCTAAGTCTTGCTTAACCTAACCGGTGCGCGCACTCGCGGATTATCCTTCCGCGTTGTAAATAAAAAAAAATAAAAATAATCACAGGATGCTTTGCGGACGCTTCACGAGCAAATATTGACTAATCGCTTGAAAACTCGCTAAACGGTGGCAGGGAACTGCTTAGATGGATAATGAGTGAGTCCGATGACACGGACGTTCTCCTCCTGATCCCGCCCGATATATTCCACGTTCCCTCTTCCGATTCAGACACCAACTCGGTGAGAACGGATTGCGCGAGGACCGGTGTTATTTCGGAGCTGGTGGGGCACATGCAGTCATTGGAGTCTCGTATCTCCGCTATTGAGTCTAAGGATAACAGTCTGGACGTCTCCAGTCTGAACAATTTGTTGGACAATTCCCAGCCGATCTGCAGCAGTGCGTCTTATTGCCGACAAACTTTGCCTAGAACCAGGTTCTCCGTAAGTCAGGGTGCTAGCTTGCAAAATACCCCTGTAAAAGTTCATAAATCTCTATCTCTTCCTTCCACTCCCAGTCGATACTCTTGTTCTAATTCCCCAAGAAATGAGATGAGACCGGGATGCTACCTTCCGACAGCCACTATCTCTAATTCGACTAATACTAATGCTCTCACTCGGACCAAGCATGATACTCTAATGTCGTGCTCTGATTCCTCCATGGTGCCTCCTGCTTCTTGCGGTACTGGGCTCTCGCATGCCACTGCTATGTCCACAAAGAGGGAATCCCACTTGTCTCTCCGTCCGAATGATCGTATGAATACGAATAACTTGTGTTATAAACCCACTGATTCCTGGCATTCAGCACTATCTGTATCGAACTTATCTAATGCATCGACAGGTCAGCAGCATACTCGTCCTAGAATAGTGCAAGATATGGAGCTGTCGGAGGTTGACGAGCTGCTCCAAGAAATGGAAGCCACAGAATTGAAACTATCGAAAAGAATAAATAGCGGATATCAATATCGTAATGAACCAATTCATTCAGTAAGTCAAACTGTTGACAGCACAAATCAAGAAAAAGATGCACAGCTCAAGCTTGGAACAGAAAGTTGGAAGCTTCAAAAGTTAGATTTTCTGTCGAGCGATAAAGAAGCTCAGCTCACTGATTCTTTGCCAGGATTTTCTCAAAAGAAATCAAACGCATTCCCAGATATATCATTGTCACACAGTGATTCATTCCACTTAAATGAGACTGACAGAATGATTTCTGAATTCAAAACATGGGGACAAAGCGTTCAGCAGCCTGTTTCCAAATCAAATGGATATACAACGGAAAGTATAAATAGCACAAATAATTTAGATTTATTTAACGTATCATCCGATACAATCGAGAATGCTAAACCGAAAGAAACAATGGCAGATCAAAACATTCTATCTACGAGTGAAGCAAGTACAAGTAGCGTACATGCTAAGTTAAAATCTTCCACTATGAGTGCCGGTCTTACGTCACACAACAGTGAATCAATGAAATTTTCCGGTACGAACGCGGTGCCGGTAACTCTTTCAACAAGATTTTCTCTGTTAAATCCTTGTAAAACGCCACAGCACAATGGAAATATACACGACGATAGAGAAAGATCTGAATTTGCCAAAAGCACTGTACATGTTGGAACAAATACAGATCTTCATTTAAGGTATTTTATTTTACATATATAACATTTCTACGCATTCTCTTTTTCGCGTAAAAAACGAAATATTTTTATTACGAAAAAATTTTGGCGCAAATGTTTAAATACGATTTTATAAATATGTTACGAAATTTATTTGCAGGACTTGTCAGCGATTTTTATCACTCTCAGATTTTTGGGACATTAATCCAGCTAGATCGCAAGAAGAAACGCTTAGAATCAAGTTAGAAGAGGAGAAATTTCGCAGAGAGGTATAGTAAAAATAGATTGTATATGTATGTAGCGTGAGTCATTACGTTTCTTCGCATTTTTAGCATTGTGAGAATCTGATCCAAGAGCTTCAGAAACGATTGCTGGAACAACAAGAAAAAGTGGCCGTAGCGGTTAGAGTCGACAACGAGAAAAATGTTATGATATCTCAATTTCACACAGCTTGGTCTAAATTAAAGCAACAAGTCGAAATGTTAGAAGTTGAACACAAAAATTTGCAAACCAATCTGGAAAATGTCGCGGCGAAACATCAGTCGGAAATCTCAGAATTCCAAAGTCAAATCAAACGGCTCGAAGGGGAGCTATCGAAGGCCTTAGACTTGGCAGCTGGATATAAGGAGAAGAGTGACACTACGATCAAAGAAAAAGTCAATTTGTTAAAGGAGCATGCGGATGAATTAGAGAGTTGCAAGTCATTGGTACAAGAAGCGGAAAATAGATATGAACAAGTAAAAACAGAGTTCAACAGGCTCTTAGAAAAGAATCAACAGAACGAGGAGACATTAAAAACTGTTCAATTGGAATTGAATAAAGAACGTTTGCGAGGAGGTGAGGTGCGAAATGAGATGAATCTCATTCATAAAGCATTAGATACTTGCGAAGCTGAGTTGATAGTGCTCAGACAAGAAAAAGAAAATTTGCAGCTTAAGCTCAAAGAGGAAATGAACAGAAATTCTATTTTAGAACAAAAGAACTTATCATTGCTCGCATCGATTGACGATGCCAAGAAGGCAGAGGTAATACATTGCATGATATATTGAATTAGTTTTAATTATTTCTCAAATTTATTTATATTAATGTAATTTATAATCAATTTTTTTTTTCAGAAATTAGCTAAGGACGAAACCAAATCTATCGTCGAAGAAAAGGAAAAAATTAGAGCAGAATTACAAGAAGTTTACCAAAAACAGGTTGATGAAGTGGTGAAAGCAAAATTACAAGAATTTCAAACGCAACTTGATAATGCCGAATCAGAATTTTTAGAAGAATTGAAAACAAGACAGCAAGTTATAGCTGAATGCGCTGCTCGGAAGATAAAGGACGTTATTGATAAGTTCGTTCACAGTTTTCTTATTTGTGCAATTCTGCAATAAAATGCACAATAATTTTTCAAGCTAAATAAATATGTTGGGTTTTTTTTCAGGCATCGTTTGGAGATCAATTTGTTGGAGGAAAAACATAAAGAAGAGAAACGACTGTACGAATTGCAATTAGCTCAAGCTTTACAAAGATCGGCCATGTTAGAAACACACTTAAATTCTCAGCGAGCAACAAAAACTCAACTCGCGGAACAACTGCACTCCGTTATGCAGAAACAATGGCAGCAAGCTTTGCACATTATTTCGGGTAAGTTGCAAAATGTATTTAACTTTATATACATACAACGTCTGATTATTTTAATACCATTATTTATTTTTAAAATCGTAATATAAGTGTTTAGCGCATAGATTACAAAATACGATTACAGGTGGTAACACGGATAACTTATCTCCGCTTCAAAGAATTCACGCAGAGAAATATTTTGATTCTAATGGTCCCAAAAAGTCTGAATCATTGCCAAATTGTTACACTAAACTTTCTCAGGAACCAAGATACGCGACTCATTCGTTAGAGATGCAAAAGCTGATCGACGTACAACCGTTTGAAGAACAAAACGAGAGTACGATCGCAGTGAAATCCATTGAAAATACACCGGTAACCAGTAAAAAAGGATCGAAGGACGAGCTTCGGAAATTCATGAAAATGGTAAGATTAGCATTTAGGCGAGAATTGTTTACTAGTAGACAAACGCAAATAAATTTCTTACAGATTACAGAAATGCAACTGGCAAAGGAAGAGGATGCAAAGCCCAGACATAGCATTTCAAGTCCGCCATTGGAATGCAGAGAAGTACCGCGGAAACATTATTTGAAAAAGGAATTAAGTATAACGAGCGAGGATAGCGTCTTGTGGCATCCAGCATCCGAGGTTTGTTCGCCGTAATATTTCAGATTTTATAATCAAGTGCGGACTCTATATTGATAATGTAATTTTATTATTAGACTTCGATGCGCGACATTGGCGAATCCCTTCCGCAAAAAACGATTAGCAAGATAGATCAGCAGAGAAACAAGCCTCCTTGGAAATGACATATAGTTGATGAGAACGACGATACTGATGGCGTGGATGAACTCGATCACGTCAATTCCGTTCGATACAGTGTACTTAATTAGCAGTAATGCGAAGTTTTATACGTAACAAATGTGCAAATATCTATTTTTTAGCAAGAAGAAAATTTAATAAAACATTTTTTTACATAGTATTATTTCGATCGATTGCAATTTTGAAACCTTATATCTTTCCTACCTTTAAACACATAATAATACGCTCAATGTCCTTTTGTGGATTCGAATTAGGCATTGTGTAATTTTGATCTAATAGAGTATATTCTCATAATTGAACTATTCAATTTTTACATGATATAATTAATACACCAACCTTCTCGTTTTGAAATGTTTCTATCGTGAGTTTTGATATTCACGTTGTCCAGCGCATCGGGCGCGAGAGGAAAAGGATGTCAGATAAAATAATAAACTAACGGATTGATAACAAGAAGAGTTTATCTCGTAGCGGAAATTTAACGTGCGTTCGTTACGGCTCTGAAATGATGAACAATTTTACATTCTCGGGTGTAAAAGTATTTTTTCACATACACATATGAATGTTGTACAAGTTATAATTACCCAATAAACAGATTACGTAGTTCAACAGCTTGCGGTCAAAATATCGATAAAGTTATTTTAGTCGAACAACTCATCTTAACGATAAACCGCAATATTACTCGTAGAAACAACTTAATTCTAAAACTCGGATGACCTAAACAATTGTCAACATTTGTCATCATAAATTAAATTATTCTTTTTTTGTCGCAATATAAATGACTCAAATGAAAAGTTTTGAACTGTCTAAGAAAAAGAACAATTTATTTACATAAAAAAGAAAAGAAATACCGACTCTTTAAATAATAATGTTTTAAATAAATTGAAACGTAATATATGAAAAATATAAAGAACATTATTTGTGTAATTAATAATGCAAATTTATGGTTTAAGTTTCACTATAAACAGCCTTTGTGATGACAGCTAATTAGAGTTCATCATACGCACGTCTAGATTTGCCGTATCGATATTATGTATATGTTAAACACGTTTGCTTCGCGCAGGTTGTTGCATGCTGATGATTCGGAGAGATACACTGTTACTGAATCGAATGTAACATCGTGAATAACAATCGATTCATGTGCGATGTACAAATATGTGACAGACACAAGAGAATGCGGCGCTGCACATTTTGAAAACTTATGGTAAAAACATCGCCCGCATGCATCATTTACATTATTGTTTCCTAAAAGCCTTGACAAACTCCATAATCATAACGTGTACATTCGCGCGATACATTAGCTTGCATTGTCACGCTTGATGCATTTAAATTATTAAATGTACTATTGTTTACTGACAAATAAAGATATTAATATTCTTTATTGGAGATACACGGAGAGAGAAATATAAAATAACATTCAATGTTTTAAATTAAATAAATAAAGTTTAACAATACTAAATTGCTTTCTCTTTGATTCATATAAAAATCAAATAAAAATTTATTTACAAAATTTCTCTATGTAACTATTGTATATTGAAATATTTTCTTTAAACGATAAATTCGTATATCAACTGAACAGTACAATTCGCGCGGCCGGTGTCGATGACCGAAAAATCAGCCCCGTTCATGCAAAATTGCGTCAGTTTTTATGCTCATATTACAGCCGTAAAGTCATCTCTCGCCAGCTATCATCTCGACACAAACGCAGGCCAGCGTTTTACGAGAAACGACACGATCGTAAACTATGCAATCGTAATTCGACCGTAAAAGGGTCGCGAAATTTTTGCAGGTCGCATCCTTTGCCGGTCCTCTGAAGCTGAAAAACATAGGAACGAAGGTAACAGGATAATCTCGACAGAACGAGCAACTCCGGCAAAGTGAGCGTGCCTTTTCAGCTATAAACGACGATCACGCCTACGACTCCTTCGAACCGGTGCCAGTTATGAGGATTCTACGCGCGGAACAAGTTGCCGATTGAAAATGAAAGAGCAGCAAGAATGCAAAGGGAGGAACGTGATAGTGGCCACCCCCTCTTCGTTCGTATAGTAGTCATGATTCGCGCGTCCGTTCTTCGCGCGTTCGTATGTATGTACGTGGCCTTTAGTCGCCGAGCAAAGCCTCGAGAGTCAAGGAGATACACCGTGCGCGATCTAGCTCGGCCAGCTCATGCGTCTATCGTGAGCGGAATCTGAATGCACGGTGAAAATGCATCCCGGAACGAGACGATGTTCGGGATTCTGCTGGTTGACAATAGCGGTGCTCGTCGGCCTTCTTGTAAGCGACACCGGCGGCGTTTGGAAGAGACGGGAGGATAATACGAAATGCCCGAAAGTGAAGGGCATACGCAACTTTGACATATCCGAGGTACGAAGTCTTTTGTGACCTATGCGAGATCGTTACAGCGCGGAAACGTAAAGTAAAGATTTTCACATTGCATTTTCATGCGATTCCTTTACAATAACGTCCCGACAACTCGAACAATGTTTACGTTTACATGTTAATACGCGCGAAGACTATCTCGTATGTTTACAATGATAGGAAACAGGAATATCAATAATTTGAACTTGCTCATGTTTCCGGAGAGAGCACGGATTTCAATTACTAATTATATAGATCGTTTTCATGTGTGTTCAACGTTGCGCTTTTGTAATCTGAACTGTTTATATTTCCTACACTTCTTTTCTTTCTATTTAAAACAGATAGAAAACAGATTTATTTCATGTAGAAAATTTCATATAAAATTTTATATCTAATCTTTGTTTGATGAGAAAACAGTCTGACAAAGAATTAGCTTCTTGAAAAAGTTTTTAAGGAATAATTTCTAAATTTGTAGGGAGTATTATATTTCGATTAACTTATAAATTAGTTTTTAACAATTACAAATGTTTGATAATTAAGTATTTAATTCTATGAATAAAAATTAACTCTTACTTGATACTACTACAAAATTCACAATAATTTCTCGCCAATGGTCACCAATTTAGGCATAATTCTGTCACATAATTTGATCGTGTTATTTACATAGTGAGAAGGTTGTCTGATGCGCTTCATTCAATGCGTGATATTACTACGAAATAGTATAGAGTACGCTGATATATTATCTGACACTGATGTGACTTCGAAAACGAATAATCAACGGGCATTTACCGTCGCCGAATATGTCGGTTGAATATTAATAGTACAGAGCCAATCCGCAACTATTTGTTAGATGTAATATGCCGATTTTATGCAATAGCAATAGAAATTATCGTTTACCGTGCAATTAACGATAGATTTGGCATGAACCAGAAAATGATGAATGCTGTTTGACGCTGGCATTTCTATCAATGGACCGCGAATATTAATTTCATGCATAATATTGTATGCCGATAGAATTAGATATATATTAAATATATAAAATTAATCAATATAATTAGATAAACATTTGTCACATACAAAAGACAGGGTGTAACCATTCGCACACTTTTTGACAAACACAAATGGATAATTAAAATAAAGTTGATAATTAATTCTGTATAATAAAAATTTGCGAGAATATTCAAGTTTGCATTTAATTTCCGTGTCTATTCTCATGAGAGAATGAGTTTTTTTACTATATAATTAAATACTACATACTTTGACTTAAACAATCTGCTCTGATTTAATAAGTTATGATTAGTTGAATAATAGAGAAATGCAAAAATATATAACGGCAGTTTTTTTTTCTTATTATTTTCCTTTAACACTACATAAACTTTTTTTTCTATTTTTGCTCTAACGTTTTTGATCGTAACGTTTTTGTTCATTAGCGGAAATTAACATCTATGTGTTCCAGATATACATATATATATGATCATGAAGAATTAAAACAAAATGTGGTATCTGACATTTAGGAATATTTATACGCAATTATCTAATAAATATTATGAAATAAATATATGCGTATTACTAATCGCAATTTTATTTGCGATACGTGAACATGAAATATTGCAATTTAATAGTGTTCTCCTTGTGCAGACTTTCTTTTCGGAGCAACGTTCGGCGGATTTATTTTTAGATCTCAATATGTATTTAAAGGAAGACTATTTCGGACATGCTACACACGACTATTTCCGTTGTTTTTCTTTCGCCATAAATGATGATACGCACTTTGAGATAAAGTGGCTTATATCGCAGATGTACTTTAACGCTCCAATAAATTTTTGAAAATTAGGATAATTTTACTAATCTTGCATCATCATAGAGTGTTTTTAATCTTGATACAGAATGTAAAAGAGATATTTGTATATAATCATTTTAAGATGTTTTACAAGATGTTTTAAGATCTTTTTCGATCGAAGCGTCTGCTACATAAAGATAAGCATTGAACCGTAGCAATATATATCTTGTGATAACACAAAACTTCGAAGTATTTAACATTTTCTTTATTTGAATAATTTGTCGTACGCATTTATATTTTACGAATATCGTTTTCGTGTGTAACGTGCGAATGACACTTCGAGCAACATAACGTAAAAGCAAAAATAGAAAAAAAAAGTTTATGTAGTGTTAAAGAAAAATAATAAGAAAAAAATAACAGAATTCGCGCATTTACGCACAACAATCGCTATCTGGGAAAAACTTCTTGGATGCGTTTCTAATGCCGTTTATCATCGAGTGCGACTATTTGACCTGTGTAACGCGCGCATTTATTAGCATATATTAGCGCACGAAGAAAATCAGCACGTCGTCTAAATTGTTACGTTCATTTCACGCATGACTTTGCACCTGTACGCATTCATACGTAACAGACATCATACGCTTTTTGCAGTTTCTCGGATCGTGGTACATAGTACAGTACTACGCGAGCTCAGAGGAAGCTCTCGCCTACCGATGCATGAGAGCCGAACTTTCAGTTTCGCCCGAAAGCGCCGAAGTTACCATGAATTTCACTTACAGCTTTACCGATGATCCCATTAACGAGCTGCTCGTTGGTAACATCACCTGGAAAATCCCATCATCGGATTTACCTGCTCATTGGGTGCACGCCGAGTTTCCATGTAAATAATTACTTACCTCGTAATTAATCTACTTGCGTGCTTCGATTTTTTTACATTGTGAAGAAAAATATATTTTTTTCTGTTAATTAATTTAACTCAAATTAGAGCGATGAATGGTTCTGTAAGAATAAAAAAGTATCAACAGAAGAAAAGCTATAGAAATTACAACGCGGGTGTCGGAGCGCAAAAATTTTTTTTATTATCAAACGAATACAAAGTAGCGAAACGTTTTTCGGTACAATTTCGGACTCTCCTCACAATCAGTCTAACACGCTTGCTAGCGAGGTGTTAGAAACTTTCTAATCGTATCAAATACAAGCAAGAATGTTCATAATAAGGCATGTAGGAAAAAAGAATCAATTCGGATCGGAAATGTTTCCGCATAGTGTCATAAGCTGGCTCAGTCTAGCACGATTGGAACCTCGCGCAGTCACTTGCCAGCGCACCGAGACGTAACGTGTTATCGGACTTTACGCCGAAAATTCGGATTCCAATGGTTAATCATGCAAAGAAGCCTAAATACGTGTGTTATCTTCGCTAATCTTTTGGGTGTCAATTACATTATGCCGCTGGCGCGCCAAAAAGTGACTGCTGTGTGTCAAGTCCACGTGGACCATTCACCTCTTACAAGCGTGCTAGACATTTAGAAGAGTTCAAAATTGTACTGAAACGTTTTATACTTTGTTCGATTATTTCTTTGATAATAAAGAAATTTTGTTGCGCTCCGACATCTTATAGTTTTAATAAGCTTTCACCTGAAATCCTTTGCACTCCGATGATTTATATTATAAATGTCGCCGTAACAACGGCAGTGGAATGCAAAGAGTTAATATCAATTTAAAATGTACTTTAGTTCTTAATTAATTAAATTTTATATTTAATTTCTCAATAAATTTGTCGTATATAACATGAAATGTAAGCTTCTTTCAAAAATTTATTATCTTTGAAATGTGTTTTCTTATAAATCATTGTTACAATGAATTGGGTACATAGAAATAAATTTTAATTTTTTATAGAGATTGTATTTTGAACGGAAAACTGATATACGCAATTATGTATCGTGAATTTAATATTTTCCAGATGAAGGAGTGTACAATACATATGTGTTAGATTCAGATTATAAGTCATGGGCGTTACTAATGCATTGTGCTGAAAAGAGCGAAAGCCCACGATATTTATCAAGCTTCATCATGAGTCGCGAAGCGAGCCTAGGGGCAAACGTCATTTCTTATCTTCGCGAGAAGCTGCCTAGGTACATTGTTCTTTTGATATTATTGCAGTTACAGTAGAATTGTTTCTTCAGAACTTTGCTCGTTAAAATACCTTTTCGAAAAATACCCGTAAAATGTAAAATGTTACATGATTGATGCCAAATATGAAACTTTGTCTCTCTATCAATATAATTTAAAATGTCTATACGTCTTTTATTTCATTAAAGGCGCTCAAGGAAAGCATCCGTTAAAGAAATCAGGTTTATTATTTTCCTTACAGATCAATACTTTTCATTAAAAATTTATTTTGATAAACGTTAAAACAATTCGCTTAAATTAAACTAAAGTGTATATTTTCTTGTATCGTTTTATAAAATTATAAAAAAATGATATGAAAAACACTTTTTTTTAACATATAGGTACGACATCGACTTGGAATACATGTTTCCTATGGATCAAAAGCAATGCAATAAAACGAATAACGAAGATATGCTAATTCCGGTGTTGGAATCGACCAAAAGAAGCAACGCTGTCCGAAGGCATCCGTTGAAACGCAAACACAGACGCCAATGAATTTCATTTAAATCAAACACTCCCGTTACTTTGGGCTAATTTTATTAATTCAATTAACAACGTGTTATAATACTCTTCGTCTCGTCCTCTTATTTATAATTACATAATTGTAATGAACTTGTTATTGTTTTCTTTAGACCCGTCGTCTCTCTCAACATTTTAAGCACAACTCATCCAAATTAACTAACACACACGTGCAAGCAGCACGCATGGTCACCACGATCACCATCATCAGTATCGGCATCATCATAATCATTAGCGTAACAGTCGTCATCAGATTATCACTCAACGCACCTAATTACTTAATTACTGAATGTATGTATATATAATATATATTTATATATATGTATATGGCAGCTACAACTTATAAGAAATATTACAAAATCACTTGTGACTCACTCTTTTCACGTTTTCACAATGTTTTACTCATACGAACGCTATCACACCGACGGGCAACTCCTATTTTCTTGCGGGAGCATTCTCATTATTCAACGAATTCTCATATCTCCGCGAAAATCGGCTCTGTCCGGTATTAAAGTCGCCGGTTCTCGCGCGTACATTTCGACATTTCGACGGCGTCGTGACTTCCCCCCTTCGTTTGCATGCGTTTCTGAAATATATAATAATCGAGCGCTTGTCACGAATAAGAATGTATCGCGGTCGCTCAGACTACACAGAATAGGAAGAACGCACCGGGGGTATCGAAACGCACGCAGAGATTCGCTTATGTACGCGTATATACTTCGAGATCATTACGGCGACCGAGAAAGACAAGATCGTTAAAAGCCGGAACAGATCCGCGATGAGCGCCAATTACAACGTTGTCTTCATTAAACTATCGCACTACACCCGCAACAAGTATACACGCATCCACTCCTTCGTTCTACGCATATGCATATTCAAATCACCTATTAGTCTTCTAATAATTCTTTAGTATTAATTAGTCATACATTTAATTTTTTTAATCACTTGTAAATTAATTACCTAATCGTTAAATCTGTTTCTTGTAAACCTGCACTCGCGCGCATACGCGCGCGTACGTTTCTATGTGCGTGCGTATTGGGTATGTGTATATAGATGAATAGGTGTATGGGCGCGTGGTGTACGTATGTAGACGCGCATGTGTATGTGTGTGTGTCTTTCTGCACAAGACTGTCTTCATTATTATTTCATATAGCTGATAGACTATCTATTTATTTGAAATTTACGTTTTATAAATATCCTATAGTAAACCGTATTTTGTTACTTCCTCATTCGATTATGCGCTTTTTGTACGAAGGTGTAATGCAAACCGAATGATATTGTAGTTTTGACGTGTGCCCGTATTATGTATGTACGTGTGTGTATGTGTGTGTGTGTATCAACGTATGTGTGCATATGTGTACCAACTTAATAATCGCATACAAGTGCTTTTCGACTGAGCGTAAAATTCTCGCTGTTAAATCGATATCCGCCGTCCGTGCATTCGTCCGAGACGTATGGTTCGGTTTCGGGTTTTTGCGAGATACCGATTGTGTAAATCGGTGAGTATTTGAGCTATGACTGGAAATATACTTTACGAACAACAATAACGACGAATGGCAATGGGATGGGCGAGTGCACGGTCAAGCGAGCGAGCGAGCGAGCGAGCGAGCAATCCCGCTCCGACGGCGGTCTCGATTGTCGAAAGTAGAAAGGTGAGAGAAGCTCGATGTCACGATGATCAAAGCGGGAGAAATAGAGAAAGAGAGAGAGAGAGAGAGAGAGAGAGATAGAGAAGAGAAAACAAAAGGCGACCAAGAAGAATACAAAAGGCGGCCGGAGGAAAGAAGCGCTCGCGCATACGCGCAGATTCGTCGCGGCGTAGATTCCCGCGACAAGAGATGAACACTCGTTAGATATTAGTAGAAGTACTAGACGAAACCGGCGAAGTTCTCTACTGCTTAAAGTTACAGTTAAATGACGGACGGCCGGCAGCACACCAGTTCATGTTCTCTTTTTTTTTTTTCTTTCTGATTGAACGGTTAGACGGGTTTCGATTATTGCGATGGGACCCTCGTCTTTCGCTACATATATGTATATATTTATGGGCACTGCCGTGCCGCGCGATCTCTAGCTTCTTTTCGTTTAAATAGTTACGATAAAGTACGATAGGAGGCAATTACAGTTTACGGGAAGTCGACTGATAGATTCCGCAGGTAGGAGTACGAAGGTACAGTCGCTCGGTTGACGTCCGCGTGAAGCATGAACGGCCATTGTTTTTCGTTTCTGTTTCTTTTCTTCGCATTTCGCAGAATATTTGTTGGTACTTGTGTTGTCGCGCTACCGTTATGCCACGGTTCGCGTCGTAAAACGATTGCCCTGAGGACCGTCGTAAAGAAAATTCGTGTGGATACGCGTCAGGAATGTGTCAAAAAATGCGACAGGCTGTGTGGAATAGAGAGAAAGACATTGCATTCGCAGCAGTCTCGTTCGAGAGGAGTCCCAGCTGATCGATGTTACTCGTGTCTCATCTTTTTATGAAATTTCGAAAGAGGGACAAGAAAGAGAAAGAGAAGCAGGTGCAGGAGAAATTGGTGGTCCGCGAGAAAGCGTCCGTTTCTAGACGCATCGTGACGCCATGGCCGTCACTGACTTCGTCACGCCCGATGCTGACGCGTGCGATTTCTGATAGATCCGACGTCTCGGTGATGGACGCGGCGGCGATGCTCATCGACGTCAGGACGATTCCGAACACGTCGCTGGTGCCCCCTCGTGTCCCGCGACTGTATAATAACAACTATGCAGCGGTGTTTAAAGAACTTCATGAACACACGGCCATCATATAATCACGCACTCCAGTCGATTGTTTCACCGGCGAGCCGAGATCGGCGGCGAGTACGTTTGATTGGTCCGACGTAACTGCCTGCGGCACGTTCTTCACCAGGATACGGCCTGGCGGCTGTCGACGTCACTGTCAGATCTTCGCGACGAGTTCGTTACGGTGCCGGTGATCACTACTTCATCCTCGACGAGCCGTTGCAGTCCGCGGTAGCGATCTGACGAATCGGCGAGGACCGCTGTCAGTAGACCCAAGAAACTGGTACCCACTGTGGTGTCGTGTGCACACGCTCGATCGCGGCCTCCAGCTGGGCGATCGTCTCGTCGAGGTCGTTGTTCACGATGGTCAAGTCGAAGAAGTGCCCGTACGCCTGCTTCAGCATGTCCGACTCCTTCGCCAATCGTTCCAGACTACCGTCGAACTGAAAACATGAATGACTTTGTGGAAAAATTGTCGTTGATTCGCATACAACACATTTGCTGCATATAATATAATACTAATTTGTAATTGTATCTAATTCAAATATAGTTGAAACTTTTTCGAAGTAAATTCTGAATTATTCCATAAAAATGTTAAACGAAAAACTGTCGTTGATTCACATACAACACATTTGCTGCATATAATATAATACTAATTTGTAATTGTCTCTAATTAAAATATAGTTGAAACTTTTTCGAAGTAAATTCTGAATTATTCCATAAAAATGTTAAGCGAGCGTGTAGTATAATTATACTTTATGTTGAAGAAATTATGCATTTAAATTATGCTATATTTTCTTTGCTGGAAATATAAATTATCGGATTGTCCATTTAACTCTGTATGCCGAGTAAGATCGAGTAAGACGGGCTGTTTTGTCGTGCTTATAACATTATCGGAACCGCTTGGCATTCTTTAACGATTTCCTTTCAAAATGAATTAACGGACCGCAGTCGGACGATTAGTCATTGGGAACAAGTGAACCAATAACTGTTTGCCCGATTAATCCGCCAAATCCATAATTCATTTGAAAATCGTTGAATAGTTTGCCTAATTGCTTAATTGGCGTGCAAGCATCCCTGGTTCGTATTATATCTACGAATCAAGAATCGAGTTATATACACTCAGTATAAATCATATAATATTTGCAAATATCAGTGCTGCGCCTGTATACTTTGATAACCCTTTGGCTTGTAACTTACTATTGTGCTATACATACTGCTATAAAATGGAATCTCGTTGAACGGTAATCTCGTTTTACATAGCAAATGCTTTAAAGGCCAATACGCTTATGGCTAAGTGAGGGAACGTGTATCGTGGAAAGGAAAATTAACATGCGCTTCCGAGAGAATATATTGTTCTTAGTTAATTACCTTGAGGTTTAACACGCGAAATAAATGTTCTGCTTCACTGATAATTAAAAAAGAATTTTATACTAAAATTATTATTATTTCTTTGATTATATTGTTCGTCAATGAAATCTGATATTGTAATAAAACACGTTCGTTGAAATCGATGCAATCCACAACCTCCGCGGAAAATATTCAAAATATGCAATATATAAGTTTATCCTTCATTCTTGTATCAAGTTATTTTCATACTTACATCCGTAACATTTGCGAACGCTGGTGCAGCGATGAAGACGACGTAAGGTGCAAATTCAGCAGTCCGTAAAACTTTCAATGCTTGTGGTTCAACATCCAATATGGCCATTCTGCCTTCTTCGTGAATTTTGCGAATAGTTTCGAGTTTAGTTCCATACATAGCATCTTCGTGTGTACCTGTTCTCACAAATAGTAAAGGTTTTAAATCTAATCGTTATATATATTTTAACTATTTTCCACACTTCACAGAATTAATTTGCTGATACTTATTTTTCGATATTAATAGCTATTATATATCATTCATAAGTTTTAAATACGTTAAAAAAATTTATGTGAGTGTAGTTTTTACCGTATTCGAGGTATTCATTAGCAGCTATGTCTGCCATCATCTCATCGTGTGATACGAAATAGTAATTACGACCATTTTCTTCGTCGCTTCGTGGAGGCCTCGTTGTATCTATATAAAATATATTTGGTAAATATTTCGTTCTTATATATATTTTATGCAATTGTTTTCCATGCAAAAAGAATTTATTAATTCAGAATTTTACGAAAAACTTGAAATACTCACGCGGAATAGGATAGGCGTATTTATCGGGATGCTTGGAGATAATCGTATTCTTTATGTGTCGTCGACCGACGCCATGTGCTCCCAATAATACTAACGTTTTCCGTTGGAAGGCAGGATCTATAAAAAGACACAATTTTGACAATAATATTCTATGTAAAATTATGATAACATTGCTTAAATTAATCCGGTAATGGAATTATAAGAAGTCACACTCTAAAAAACTGCTGACAAAGAAAAAGAAATCATCATCTTACATAATTTAATTATTTAATGTTGCAGAAAAAACTTACAAGGAAGCTTTACGACCTCTTCGTAAGTCACCAGATCCAGCTGGTCGAAAACGGCATTGTGCTTTGCGAGATATTTATCCTTGTATTGCTTCTTTTTTCGGCCGAATATTGAGCAATTTACTGTAAGCAGAAAGGATCATTAATATAGATGCCGATGAAACTGAAGACGAGGCTACCTCTGCTCAAAAACGTCTGCCCCGGTGTAAACTTGCAAATTACTGTGCAAGTGTCATGTTACGGATCCATTATCCGTGCTAACTAACGAGTTCCGGTCTTTATAGTATCAATGAACGACCATTAAAAGACTCGCACTTATCGCAATATCATACAAAGACAAATTTTATATATATATTACGTGTATCAATATAATATGTATATCAGGAATTATATCAGAAATTAAACGATAGCTATTTTTTTATGATCTATAAGTCGCAAATACTTAAAAAAGTTTAAAGCACGTTTTAGATACTATCACAGCATTTAATGGTTTCGTAATTTTTATCCGATCGACTTTTCGCTTACGAGGTATTAGAAACTTTCCGATCGTATCAAATACAAGCAGAATGTCCATAATAAGATTGTCCTAATGTTATTGAGCCTTACGTCGAAAATTTGAGCCCCAATTGGTCAACTGAGCGGAGAAATCCGGATTCGCGTGGACTATCTTTGCTAATTCAGTAGCTGTTTGCGCGGAAATGACTAATCGCCGAAAGCTTCAAGGAGACATTTCTCGCGGAAAGTCCACGTGGATGAATGATTGGTCATTTTCGTACATTTTAGCAAACAGCTACCAGATTAGCGAAGATAGTCCACACGTATTTAGGTTTCTCCGCATGATTGACCCGAATTGAGGTCCGAATTTTTGGTGTAAGGCCCAACCTTGTTACGCCGCCGCCCGACTGCTGCGTGTCAAGTCCACGTGGACTACTTACCCCTTACAATCGTGTTAGACGATGAGGAGAGTTCGAAATTGTAATGAAACGTTTTATTATTTTATATATTTTTGATAATAAAGAAAGTTTTTTGCGTTCTTTGTCCGCGCTGTAGTTTTAATATTTTAATATTAAATTTTAATATTAAATTTAATATCAAATTTTAATATTTTAATAGCACTTTATTTGTTAATATTTATTTAATGCATAATAAATTAATTAAATTTGACGTCAGGAGAAATAGAAATTAATGTCGCGTGTTAATTGCGATTATGTACTTTACTCACGATTTCTGCAATCAATGAAAAAACTAACGTCTCATTCAATTCTCCGAATTTTCGGCCGACTCTCAAAAAATTCGTAAACACTCTTATTTTTATCGCGCCACTCACGTCTAGGAATTCTCAACGTCATAACACACAATTCTCGAATATCATAACATATCAGTCCACAAATCATTTGTTATATTTTTAAAAATCTCTAGAATTATGTATGGTGAATTTAATTTAATTTTCCAGATTGTACAACACGTATGCTGCCCTCCTTAATTAAAATGTTTCAACTAACATTTTCAACTTTTCGAGAAAAATGAGGATTAAAGATGTAAAACATGTTAAAGTACCAATATAAATAAAAAGACGAAAAATGAGAATTTTGCTGATAGGACATTTTAACCAAGGAAGACAGTATGTGTTAGAGTTACATTATAAATGGACGTTATTAATGCAGTGATTCTGAAAGGAACAAAAGCCCATAATACTTATTTAGCTTCATCAGCCATAGCGAGCCTAAGGGCAACCATCATTTCCTATCTCTGCGAGAAGCTACCTAGGTACATTGATCTTGTTTTGATATTATTACAGTTACAATAAAATTGTTCTTTCAGAACTCGTATAAAAACCTTAGCTCGTTAAAATATTTTTTCGAAAGATATCCATCAAATTCAATATATTATTGTGTTAAAATACAAAATGTGAAATTTGTCTCTCTATCAATATAATTGAAATTGTTAGGCCTATACGTTTTTTATTCCAAAATATTTAATTAAAGGCACTCTACGAAAGCATCTATTAAAAAATGAGGTTTATTATTTTAAGGCACTAATAATGCGATTTATGAAAAAGAGGAATGAGAAATATCATTTTCCAGACATCAGTTGCGTAGGAAGTCATTCACATCGCTAGATCATATATTTCCTTATTGTCCTAAAATATATATCACCTAACACGGGGTGTTATCCTATTGGGAAACGCATTAACGCTGTGTGCACTAACGTTAGCAATCCTTCGCAACACTTTGAAAATTAATAACGAGTATTGACGCCAACACGTAGTGACGAACTACTCTGCGAATATCGATTCCTGGATCAGGCAGAATCTTTGCTCTATTGATAAAAAAAGTTCATTCCGTCAGCCAGTTCGAAAAAAAGCCATGCCCAGAGGCACTTAGGAGTCCTATTAAGAAGGGGTGTTCCAGCAGGTCACAAGATGACAACGTAAGGTCCGTGATGTAACTGATGCATGAGATCTTAAGTAGGTGTCACAATCGGAGCCACGAGGAATTGCCTCACGAGCGTTATCCCCGCGATTACAGAACTACTGAATATACTAGGAAGATTCGCGTATGCGGCTAGAACGTATATATTAAAGCTGCGGGTGATAGCATGACTGTGTAAACCACGGTATCTTGCCAAAATATTTGGATACTTGAAAGTTGAAAAGTATATCGCAATGTACACAACATCTAAAGGATCTTTCTCGAAATATGATATAAGGTTGTAAGGTGAGAGATTGATTTTTGAAATTTTTGGCAAGATATACGATGAGTGCTCGCTAACATTTAAGACAATCGATCGACTATTTGTTAAAAGCTCCGATTGTAATCGTGCTGCCATGTATGTTGCGAGTGAAATCGTGCGATAAGCATAAGTGCGTGGAATGTTTTGCAGCGAGTGCATGCATTAAAGCACGCGGTGTAAAAGCATCTATTAATGTATAACACAGAATACTATAATAATCTATATTAATAAATTATTACTGACATGATGCTCATATCTCATAATGCGACATTACAAAATTACCTACACAAGCCTGGAAAACAGAAACTTTTCAAAGCTGTTTTATTTTTAATTCGTGTGATTTTATATCATTCGTCTGTATTTCATAAATATTTCGAGGATTAAAATTCATGTACAAATATCGTTTATCGCGATTATCATCAGTGTTTCACGTAAAATATTTCTACAAATTGTATAATTGATAATTTCGTATACAATAATACAAAAGCTGCAATATGTAATAAAAATGAGTGACATTTTGTAAATCAATGTGCAAAAATTACTGGAATGTGAAGGACAATTATTACAAATCTGTATTAATTTTCAGAAGATTATGATTGCGCTTGCGATTTGTAGATGATCAGACGTCGCATATTGCACATATTTTGGATATTATCCGCGTATTATAAGAATGTTATAATTTCATGTGTGAAAGAAATGAGTTTATGGACACTACATTTGAAAGCAAAACCATTGTCCTCTCGTATAAAACCCGTCAAGAGATGTTCGTCGTACTTCTCTCTGTAATGATGCGTGTGTTAGAAGCATTGGATCCAGTCTGCACTTCATGCGTCTAAAAAAACGGTCCTACGTGACTCTACACGTGTCTACCTGAAGGCAGAGACGTACCTGTCGAGCCGTCGCAGCCTTCGGTGTGAGAAGAACATCCACCTTCTCCTTCAGCGTCTAGCCCCGCAATAACACACAACAACAGATATATCACTGCAGCTAATTATTCCTGCGGCGCTAGCTCTCCATTTACCTATTCCTAATCCGTCCCTCATGCCATCCATTTATATAAACAGACACAGGTACGCAGAGATACACGGCGACTCAAAACTTTCTTGCTACATATTCTTAAAGCATTCACCTTTTTATTTGCGTGTCACTTTACAACCGCAATTATACTTCTAATCTGACTTTTAACATTGTATCTCGAAATTACGGGATTATGCATACGTGGTGTTTTTCTCTTTCGCTCGTTTATTACGATTTCTTTTTACACATTGAGCGTTTTGTCTGTTATCGCGAAAGTATGTTATCAAAAATGTAAAAATAATGAAACCTTGCAAAGAGCTTGATATTCTTGTTGCTTTTCTAGCTGTCCATAGCAGCATCTCTTCTTTAAAATGCTTTATGACGTACACAAAGACGATACCATCTTAAAATTTCACAGATCGAGTAGTAACTACCGAAACGGTTATATTTGTTCTTTATTTTCAGCATCTGGAGATGATAGATGCATCTAGCCAAGCGAAACGATTTCAAAAACGTTCGTACGTTGGTTTCGAGCTTCGAAATCGATACGCGATTTATACGTCATGTGGAGTAAGAATTGAAACTAATTTTAGTTACAATATTTAAAATAAAGTGAAAAATTTTGATTAATTCAAACATAAATAGAATAGTATACACATTCAACATTTAACAATAAATAAATTTGTTTAATTGTAATTTCAATGTTTAACATGAAATTTTCGTATTAAATACAGAATGTATATCTAGCTTTTAGAAGTTTATTTGTTAACGAGATTTATTCAATATTTCCACAATTTATATCAAACATCATAAAGTAATAAATTTATTAATTGTTTATTCTATTTATATTTCAGCATTAACGATTATTACTGTCAAAATGTACGATTTTTACCACACTTTATCTTTTCAAAAATGTAAAAAAGGTTCATATTTCTTCAAAATATTTCCCATTATTATAAGAAGTATAACGAAAGGAAATATGAGCTTATAAGAGATTGCATTGCAGGTACCAATCCGTTTTGCTTTCGTTCGAAATGCGACGATGACGAAATGCCAATGATAATTACATAGCTAACCCGATGTGAGCGAATGGTACGCTATTGGTACGCATCTCATTTTATGACCTAATTGATTGATAACAACGATACCACATGCTCCATCGAAAACCTGTACACATCGAACAACACACAGACGACATCGTGTTTCATCAGCACATTCGTTTTCTGGCAGCGGTGAAACTCAATAGGGAAGAGATTTGACTGGAATTATCAAATGTGATAGGATGATAATGGATCGATCGAGCGGCGATGAAAGAATGTTAACGTAATAACGATTTTCTCAATCGGCAAAATTCTGATTCTCTGATCTGTACTCAAAAGAAATTCTGCGATCTGCTGGAACCAATGATTACCGCATTCGTTCTACCCGAGTTTTTAACTGGAGCTATTCTTGCCCTGAGCGCTTAACGTCCTATAATTCCCGAGAAAGGAAACTTTTCTTTTGAAGAATACGATCACCCTTAAAAACTTTTTATAACGTAATTGTTGTCAGGGAATTTTACACTCTTCTGTTAAATTTTTCCATGAAATATGTCAAGCGAATACGTTTTAAAGTAATATTTTCGAAAACTGCTACATCAAGCGCGTATGTTCTTTATCATTTTAAACATATACTTCATCCACAATTTATCCGCATAACCACATCTAGCAGCAGAAAAACGGTTAATATTAATTTCCTTTTATTAAGCAAAAAATAATCTCGACAAGATAAAGTATCATCTTTTGTTTCCTATTATTACGGTATTTGCTACAGCATGTCTTATGTATGTATAATTTTGCAAGAAAGGCACAGATAGCTAAGCTAAGTTATATTACCTTGTTCTTGCTTGTTCTTCTCCATTGACATGCAGGCGATGCGCCATTCCTGAAGTTCGGGCGAAGGGATAAGACCCGCGGAGCCAGCCGCGTTATCCTTCCGCGCTTGCCACCAGTGATGGTCGTCTTTGCTGATGATTTGCAGAATATCGCCGGTCTTAAACGCGATCCCGGCTTGCGCGCAAGGTATCAATTCATCCTCCAGTGGATCGTAGTCGAATTGCGCTCGAACGAAAATCTGTCGATGCAGTAAAAGTCGCGTTAAAGTTTGACAGAAATAATTGAAGCACGTCGTTATCGTTATCGAATCGCTATTATATTTCACATCAAGGATTTCACTCTTTACGTCGATATGTTTAACAAGAGAGATTATTACGCGAAAAAATGACAAGAAGCACAAAGCAAAAAAATGTGACATGTGGGGATAATCGACTCGCAGTGAAATCATTGACAATGGATTAGTAAGAAAAACTTGAATTATAACAACAATAGGTCCTCGATCGTGAGACGTGACTAAGATATCGTTCTACGGCTATATCGATCGCTGATAGACCTACTCAGCTGCGCTAGACATAGCGAACGAATCTAGGTATTGCGAGGAAAGCGAAAGATGCGACGCGTAGTAAAGCACTGGCAATAGCTCTTGCAAAGAGTAACAGTATAATGTAGAAAATGTACAAGGTATCAATGGCAAATAGAGCGCTCGCAAATTCGTTCAAATTGCAGTATCGATAATACAAAGGCGCATAATGACTCGTAAAGTACAATTTCGTAAAAGTATACATGTTGTCTCGAGATAACCAGCGATCGACTCGTAGCTCGATTTCGCCACATCGCTTAAAAATTAGGAAGAGGAGAGGCACGCGAAACGAATTTCCAGATGAAACATGGACTCGCCGTTCTCTGAACGTCGCTGTATGACGTTTTACAGTACGCAGTTGGGTTATTGACTCGAAAGGGGTCGTGCCGGTTTTTTTTTTTTTACTAGTTAATCGGTATACTCATCGGCTCGGGAGGACTCTTCGATTGGAGGGACACGAGAGTGTTGTGCGAGCTCTTTGTCGTAATGCCACTAGCGCCACGATTTTGGTCATCTAGCGATGCACAAAATACGTATACGTGTAAAAAAGGCGTACATAGATATACATATGAGTGATTCCGTTTTTACAAGAAGCTCAAGCACTAGTTGCTGCACATCACGCAAAAAACAGACGCACACGTAATACGCGCACACACGCATACCGAAGATGCACGATGCAGAGATATGCGCGCGGCCACTACATGAAAATGTGTGAGTAAAGAACGGCGCGATAAAGAGAATAGATATAATAAACAGTATGATTGCACAGTGACAAGAGTTGCTTCGGATTAGCGCACGTATCATTCACGAAACAGAGCCGCGGGGATTTTTAATCAATATATTAATATATAGTATATATAGAGAAAGAGAAAGAGATATAGGATGGAAGAGAGTGAAAAGGATGGCGGTCCATTGATTCTGTACGAATATTACTTGTCCGATATGCGTATCGTAATTGTATCGGTTTTAATTACAATTACGAATTTTCTGGATATCCCGAAATCAGAATATCGACAATCCTGGACTAATTAACGCAGTGTGCACTAATTAAAGCCAGTGCGTCACTGGGCAAGAATTTGCGACTGAAGAGCACCGGTCAAATACATTCTGCGGCTTTGTCCAGTAGCCAATTTGTATTTTAATATTGTAAAAAGCATATCTTTTCGTTTAACACGAATAACTTTGCATTAACGCACATGATGTGTTTTTACTTACGTGTGTGTATTATGTTAATCGATTTAATATTCGTACATGTTTAATGTTTGTGACAAGTTTTGTATGTCGAATAAAATTGTGTGGTTGTTTGTAGGGTTGCCATCACTTTTGTTAACGCTGATCCAAACACGCGTATGATAAAAATTATTACGATCACAATTAACAATGTAAGAACGTAAATATAAACGTTGTATGTGTGAACAAATTTTTATACGTTATTATTAAAAATAACTCTTTCATAATGTAGTAAAGTTTAGAAGAAAAATACTTTGGAAATAATATCAAATCGCGAGAAGACAAAACTTTATAGTTTCAAAAATCCCGGATGTAAGCGAATGTCGGATGTACAAAAATCGATACTTCCGCGGACGCTCGGTTAATCGTAACATTGTGATTCCTGCCAATGTGGCCGTTTAACCGTTGTCTATACATTTTCAGATGTCTGTGTCAAAGTATCATGTCAGCGAGCTCTCTTCGGAAATATCGAGTCCTTTTCAAGCACGAGAAAGAGCCGCATGTTCTCAAGCATGACGTTTTCACGAATTACGTTAAGTGCTTTGAGAAGCGAAAAAACTTTTTTAGCAAGAAATACATGGTCGCTCAGGCAAAACTATAAGAAATATGAATATTATCTTTATCTAGCGTTTAAAATTATATTATAAAATAGATAGTTGGATATATTATTAAATAGATTGTTTCTATGCATTAATTTGATTTCTACAAAATGTAATTTAACAAATTTTGTCTCCACCTGTCAAGAAATTAATAACTTAAAATAAAAATAGCGTGATCAAGATTCAAGCAGTTTCTCTTCGTTTCAGCTTCTAAATACTATTAGAAAAATAATGGTCATTTGTGTATGTATACTACAGAGAGAGAGAGAGAGAGAGAGACTATGTGCTTTATAAATCCTTATTATTTCTAAAGCATTTTCTCTTCTGAGCGTCCATGCGAACAGGAATCTTTTCTTTGTATGTGGGCACACAAGCGAACATATCGATACGTACTACTCGCATTTGAGAACTCCTGTCGCGGGGAGTAAAGAATAAAAGAAAAATACGAAATGAAAAAGAAAAACTCGATATACGCGAAAACCCGAGTAGAGTCCTACTTTTCAGCGATGGCGAGGGTAGTAGGAACAGAGACAGAGTATGAGGCATGTAATGTATATATGAATATATAAGTATATGTACGCATAGCCTTCTAACTACAGCAGTCCAATCACACCAGATCAAGTGGCGGTACTTACTAACACTGGCAGAGGCTTAATCCTGAACAACTAGAGTGTTGAGGAAACAGAAAAAAAAGAAGATCAATTAATTAATATGTTCAGAGTCGCACCAAGCGTAATACGGATTAATCGAGACCCCCCCCCTCCGCGCACGTTGCGCGAGGGAAGGGAGAAAAAAAGTGATAAGAATGACACAATCAACGATAAAAAGAGCACCTACGGTTGAGTCGCACGCGTCAACGCTTCCGAGATGCACGGTGCGCATTGCTGTGTTGTGGCACATGCAGGTTTTTACTAGATCCTCGTACTATTAGACAGAGACGGCACCCTCGACTCGCCTGCGAGCGTTGGGTCTTTCATAATCTATGCGTAAGTTATCTAAATCGGGAACCGCCGACAACTTTGAGAACTTGAATTTTCACACAATACTTGAAATACAGAAAAAGAAATCTTGCGTCAATTGTCAAATCTTTGTCACTGATTTATGGAATAAATACTTGAGATAAATTATGTACAAATGATTTATTTTGTCGACTGTTATGAGCACCGTGAAAAATATCGTGATTATTACACAATTTAGTTAACACGTTCGGACGATGAGAGGATAATAAATAGCAACGGTTGTTCATTACTGTCTGCTTATTTAGATTTCGTACGAAATGGCTTAGACGTTATACGCACAGATTATCGTTCTTCATCGTTACATGTCCAACACCTGCTGCGAGTCGACGAGTACGAAGTAATTTCGAGCTCGCAGCTCTGCGGCACGTGTGATGAGCGTGGCGCGGAAATGCGAGTTTTGAGCAAAAACTCTCGATGCTTTCTGTCAGGAGCCGGGAGGAATCAAAGCGGACTGGTACAGTTAGTAACATTTCTAGTGCTCGTAATACGCCTCGCGTTTTACGTGAGAGAAAGAGAGAAGTTCCCTTGCGCGTGTTGGAAATAAAACTTTCAAGCGGGAGCAAGCTGGTAGAAGTTTACGTGGTTTACCTCCGATCGTATAAAATCTACGATTAGATTATTGTTCGAGCTACAGAGATATATATGTCCGCGCGTTAATTTTAGATTTCTTTTATAAATTTCGCATGAAGAACTAGACAGAGCTTGTTCCTGGCGGAATTTTCACTAGTGAACGAGAGACACTTCAGTCTCGATATTAGGCGACTTGTTATGTTCGCAGTGACTTTATTGTTGCACTGCGACTCATTAATAATCGCTTTTAAATTGTGCAATAACAAATAAATAACAATTTATAATACATGTAAAAAAATACTAAATAATGTACAACGAAACACACAGAACAATATGAAGATAAAAACTCAGCGAATCGGCTTCACAATGCATTCGTTGCCTAATCAACGATACTTAAACCGTGATTTCCATTTCACGAGCCCCATATAATTATAATGTGATATTAACACTAGAGCGCCCGGAGATAGGTTGCCCACTAACGGCTTTAGCTATCGGCTAACAATGTTAGTTAAATACATGACGATATCCCTCGTCAGTAAATTACATTCGAGGCGGAAAATAATGCCGAGGCAAATTGGACGTTGAAGTTAATTATCCGAACAAATTCGAATTTACGCTATACCATGAAAATAAAAATGAAAATTTCCGAGACGAGTCGATATCGCGGTCGCATTTTCCGCATCTCCAGTTCCGACAGAATCCATATTCTGTACTAAGGAAATTTCTATTCTATCTGATTACAAATTCCTATCTCGTTTCGATTCGGACAGGAGGAATAATGACGCGAGTCCCTTTTATGAAACCGATTCCGCAGAGCTCTCAGCAACGAGAGACGCGTCCCCAAACTTCAGGCCGCACTGTTCGAATAAAGTCACCGCGCGATTGTGCCCATCCCGTTTCCATAGTAACGTCGCAGAGGACAAGTGCATGGACATGGTGGTTCGTATGTGGGTTTCCGACGTGCATTGGAAGCTGCGCTCTACTTCAAAGAAGAAATGAACGGGCGATGGGGGAAGGTTGACGATGGTATGCTGCTGATGGGATTTTCAGGCGACACTGGGAAAGACAATTCTACTCAGTGATATAGCAGGTACTGCGCTATCGACAACTCGTCTGGTGGACTGACTGCTGCTGATGCTGCTGAATCCTCTTGTCGATTTCCATCGGGACCGGACTATCTGCTTCCGAGCGCCAGACCGAAGAGCAAGCTTCGGGCTTGCCTCTCGGAAGGGAGAGGTAAAAAGGGTCGTATCGCAGCGCAGAATAAACTCGACTGACAATTTTGCAGCGGATCTCTATTGCGGTAGCGGTGGACTTTACTCAATTCAGTTAACAACGTGCACCGATGCGTATTCTCCATCATCGGCATCCATTTAAATTGCCATTGAAAAATCGCGGCTTTATAGAAAAATCTCACGATTCCCATATTATATTATTTTTATATCTTATTGCGGGTTTTGAAGAACCGTTTGATGGAATAATCAATAAATAATTTTGCTCGTCTTAAACACACCGTTAAATGTTTCTGTGCGTTAAATCGGATCGTATAAAATTAAACGCTGCACTGCGATACTTTTTTTGGAGAGTCGATTGTGCTTTTGTGAAATGGTTTCATATATATATATATATATGGTGGATCATGAATGTCACAAATAATGTAGGTCGGGTTCGTTGCGGGTGAAAAACACACAGACACGTAAAGATTACCTATTTTCATCCACGCATACTGCAATTAACATCTGTGTGAAATGGTGCGTTGTGAGCGAAGGACAGTGAGCGAAGAGCAAGGTGTGATACAAAAGGTGAAATAAGATCACACTTATACCGAAGATTTTTCTATCGTTCGCGGATTTACTCGGGAAACTAGTATCGCTTTAGGTTTATCCTGAGCGTCGCCTGACGTTACAAATTTTTATAGACGATTCTCGCATGCGATCGCAGAAACGTACATCGAATCGTATTTTCGTTTCTCGTGATATCCTTCGTGAAGCGGAGGCGTCATAAATCGAAAGTACGAATCGTCGGCAGGCAGAAGATACGCACGTGACGAGAATGAAATCTGAGAACGGCGCGAGATTGAAGGATCAATTTTGACAAATAGGATTTCGATGCATCTTGGATGCATTTAATCCATATCTTACATAAGCAAACAGTCGTAAGTAAAGAGTATACCGAAAGTACGTCGATAGAAAATATAGATCCATTAACATTTTCATCCATTATGCAGACCGCGGCTTAAAAATCTTTTGAACTTCATTAAGGAATACATTTGCTACGCGCGTAGTACTGGCAACTCGATTAAATTTATTTATCTATTACGCGAGATCAACCGTGCTCCGCAAAAGTGCTTTTATCCCAATGCCCGCTGACCTTTCGCGTGTTACCAATCGCGCAAAAGATTAAACTAATTTCCTCGAGGTGTCTCCTAACGAGGGTTCTCTAACGAGATCCGCGCGAACTCGAAAGCGTCCCTCGGGATGCTTTCATGCACGGGCGATAAAGTGTCAATAACGACTCGGGCGCGATTGTTGCGGGGTGCAAGAGCGATAAACGGACGGTAATGGGGGAAGGGGCACAACAATACGGAGGGTATGTTGAACACATCTGAGTGCACACGTGTGTGTATATGCAGCCGAAGAGACAGAGAGTTTCCATGTGTGTGTGTGTGTGTGTGTGCGTGCGTGCGCGCGCATGTGAATGTGTATGTGTGTTCACCGATTCTATTTCTACGACGGACACGGACAAGAGATCACGTTACAGGTGACGTGCGACGAGTCGTGGTGTGTTCCAGCGGTTCATGCTTTATTATATCTTCGTACAATGCACTGTGAGGTAACAACGCCGCCGTCGTTGCGCTCGCCGATGCTGTTGCTGCTCTCTCGCCTAAAGGTGCGATTGGGGATGAGGGGGAGAGACCCGAGAGTGATGGCTTCGAAAATGCATCGTGGGGGGCAGGGGGTGGGGGGAGAGGGCGGTTGCTTATCGTCACCGGGTGTGTCTCGCTTCCCGTGTAACGCATGAGATACCCCTGTCCTCATTTTAGTGTTCGTCATCGCGAAACGCCTTGGGTCACAACCCCAAGTCTTATTCGTACCATGTGAATGCGGATTCGCCCACTCATTCCGAGAGCGCATGTGTTTGCGCAATAATTTGTCGGCCGGAAATGTTTCCCCTTCGACGTGTAACGAATATATAGCGCAGACGCACGGGACAGAGAACGGTTAACTGTGCAAGCTCATTTTCGCCAGAAGACGGACAATGTTAATTGCGCATTAAGGCTTACTCGTCGCCTGATTTCGGTTTATTGAACGCGCGCGTTATCAAAAATAGCAAAAATTTTTTTTTTCCCCACAAACGGAGTCGCCGCGTATCTTAATCGAATCTGTTGTATACGGAGTCGCTCTTGTATTCATATTTATTCCTCCAGTTCGCAATATTATTCATATTGTAAATGTAAGCGTGTGAGTGTGACGGTTAACGTTCGTCTGTCCTGCGTTCCTCTACCTTGCACGCCCGAAAGTAAATAATGAAACTGTATATTTCGGAAAATATGATCAATACTATGCAACAGCATACACAGGTATTCGTCACACCAACAATTTGCAGTATACATATCGTTAATGTTCGTATTTCTTATAACATCCATAAACTCCCAAACACATTTCACAACGCTTTACAAAATCTAATCCAATCAAGCCATTTGTACACACACGTATATGTATAGTATAGAGTGTGCAGTGAAGAAGTAGGCGAGATATATACCATGTTCTTTAACATATCCACTTCCTCCTTTGTTGCATATCTACGTGATGCATAACGAGAGAACGAGAGGCCGGGCGCTACGTTTAAACACATGTATGAACATAAGCGGATATATAAATGTACAGAGTATTTACAAACGAATACTACGTAACACCAAGATGTTCGAAATTATAATTAAAACTGAGCCGCACGCGGTATTAAGCGATACGGGTTGTAACTTTTCTTTCTTTTTAATATATATTTCGACTTTTCCGTCGGAATTAAAATTATGTACACAATGAGACTAGAAGCTTCTAACGATCACCATCATTGCT